CCCCAAAACCCCAAAACCCCAAAACCCCTTTGAGCAAATTATTTAAGTTGAGTGAGAAATCGAAAAATTTGAATCAAAATAACACTTAATATGATCTGCATATCTGAGGATGACCAACCCAGATATCTTATAATACTTACTTAATCAATAAACTGGATTTCTAGGTCTGAGTTCATCAGCAAGCTCAGAGTATGAAATTCTACCGTCCTTGTCAGAGTCAAACTTTTTCATTAAAAGGTCTAGATCATTTTAATTGGCATAAATTCTGCTGTCCTCAAGCCATTTTTGTACTTCGAATCTAGTGACTCTGCCGTCTTTGTTAAGGTCAAGTTAATCAAAAGTGCTTGAGGAAATGTACTTCTCCTTGTTTCTGATCAAGTCAAGTTGTCTCTCAACAGACAAATGAGTTCTGAATAAGTCTTGGAATTGAAGTCTTGTACTAAATGTGAAGCAATCGTCTCTCTGAATTGATCTCACCAAATTGCTGGATCTTCTGTTAACTAATGAGGCATGGTAATGATCATTTGGGAGAAGAGCATTAATGAACTCTGAGAATCTGAGTCTTCCATCTCTATCAGTATCATATCTCTTGAAGAAGAGTGAGACTTCATCATAAGTGGCATAGATTCCGATCTCTGAAAGAGCTTTCTTGAAGTCAAGTTCGTTGATGTAGCCTAGACCTAGGTTATCGAAGACTTTGAAACCATCGAAAAGGTTGAAGTCTGATTTAAGAGCAAGAATTTACTTTGAATTCTCAAGTTGTTTTTCTAATCTGAGCACATCTTCAATTAGGTTCACAACTCTGTAGTTGCTATAAGATGGTCTTGATTTTTCAACTGATAGTTCTGATTTGTTCATTTGGCTTTGATTTTAATCTGGTGATTAATCGAGGTCACTCTTTTCGGCAGTCTTTAACTCTGACTTGAATTGAAGACCATTATCATTCTGATCATCGTTTTTCTTTGAGGGTGTTTGGAAGTTATTGTTCTCCTCTTCCTGTTCCTAAGATTCCTCGTTCTTAGCCTCAATTTTCTCCTAAGATTAGTCGTTTTGGTTTTCTGGTTGAGCTTCCTCCTCTTCCTCTTCTTGATTCTCTTCATTTATTTGCTCATTTTCTCTTTCGAACTGGACTTGGTTTCTCTTCTTCTTCTCAGTTGTTTGAGATCTCTTCTTCTAGGCAGCTGGTTTGAGTGGAGTAGCATTGTTCTCTCTGATAAGAAGAGATTAATCATTCTTGAATCCATAATTTGCTTGAGACTCACTAAGTTTCTTTGGGGCTTCATAAAGCAGAGCTGACTTGTCAAGTTGATTGTTAATGAAGTCTGAGAACTCACTGTAGCTAATCTTACTGTCTCCATCAGTGTCAATTCTTCTCACAATGGCAATCGACTCTTTATCAGAAAGGAATTTGTTGTTGAGTTTGTAGAAGGTCTTTAGACTGTCAGCATCAATCGCTCCGTAGTTGTACCTGTCAACAGTTCTAAAAGCAGCATATGTTGAGAAGTCATAACTTAAAGCTAAGTCTTGTCTCAAGTCTTAGAGTTTTCTTAGGAATTTAATTTCACTGTACATCAATGAATTAAGTTGATACTCCATATCTACTGGTAGCTTTTCATATCTAGGTACTCTAAATGGAGCTCTGCCAAGAGCAAGATTTCTAAGTCCATTATCCTCGCATGGTAAAATGACTTATTGGAATCTAATTTACAATTTATTATTAATTCAATACTTACTCTTGATAAGATAGACATAAATCTCTGTCAAGATCATAATACTTAATGAGTTGCTCGCAGTCGGAGAATCTGATAGTGTACTCTCTGTTGTCAGAGAAGAAGTCAAGTATTTCTGTTGTTCTGAGTTTTTCATCGCCATCTCTGTCTATTCTCATGAATGCTGAATATGGGGCAAATCCTGGCTTGGAGCAGAGTCTTTGTCTCAATGACTCTTGATATTGCTCGCCGTCTCTGATTGCTTCAAACAAAGCAAGAAGTTTTTTCTCTGATGAGTACCCTAGCATCCTTTTCTTGGAGAGTTTTATTTGAGGATTCTAAATTATGATTTTAACTAAAATAAACCCTTAAATAAAATAAAATTAAATTTCTGAAATTATTCTAGAAACTCTAAGAGCTTTTATTTTGATTAGAGGGGTTTTGGGGTTTTGGGGTTTTGGGG